TCCTACAAGAGTCTCCCACAAGAGTGTCCTACAAGAGTGTCCCACAAGAGTGTCCCACAAGAGTGTCCCAAATGAGTGTCCCACAGGAGTGTCCCACAAGAGTGTCCCGCAACAGTGTCCCGCAAGAGTGTCTCACAAGAGTGTCCCTTAAGAGTGTCCCACAACAGTGTCCCGCAACAGTGTCCCACAAGAGTGTGTCCCACAAGAGTGTCCTACAAGAGTGTCCTACAGGAGTGTCCCACAAGAGTGTCCCACAAGAGTTTCCTGCAAGAGTGTCCCACAAGAGTGTCCCACAAGAGTGCCCTACAAGAGTGTCCCACAAGAGTGTCCTACAAGAGTGTCCCACAAGAGTTTCCTACAAGAGTGTCCCACAAGAGTGTCCCACAAGAGTGTCCCACAAGAGTTTCCTACGAGAGTGTCCCACAAGAGTGTCCCAAATGAGTGTCCGACAGGAGTGTCCCACAAGAGTGTCCCGCAACAGTGTGGGACACTAGAGTGTCCCACAGGAGTGTCCCACAAGAGTGTCCCACAAGAGTGCCCCACAAGAGTGTCCCACAAGAGTGTCCTACAAGAGTGTCCCACAAGAGTGTCCCACAAGAGTGTCCCGTAAGAGTGTCCCACAAGAGTTCCCTACAAGAGTGACCCACAAGAGTGTCCCACAAGAGTGTCCTACAAGAGTGTCATTTGGACATATGTAGCTTTTTGAACGTGTTTGCATTCGGGTTCGTGGGCTCCATCTTGTTTCAATTCGCTTCTAGGTTGGAGGCCATCGCTATTTGATTCAAAGAAAAACAGAAACGAAGGTCTTATATATAATATATAGTTTGTCGACACCAGAGCGCACGCCCGTCACGCAGGATCTTCAAGGATACGCTGCAATCATGCGACAATGCAGCATTGAATATCACTACGAGAGTTACGATGCAAGCTATTGCTTTTTGTCTGAGCATTGCCAGAATGATCCTGGCCTTAGCCAACAAATTTCAAAACGATCGAACTAAAGGAAAAAGGAAAGGTCTGATGAAACATTTAAACAAGTGAAAACGACGGTTTTTAATTGAGGACCAGGTGGCGCTCAACACCAGCATCAGGGAGGCAGAAGCCATGTGTGATGAACAATTTCCCGGACCTCAGGCTGGGCGCATTGCAACGGCTTTTGCTATGTGTTTTAAGTATTCTTTTAACAGTAGGTTGGAGGCCATCGTTATTACGCTGGAGGCCATCGCTAGTAGGTTGGAGGCCATCGCTATTGGGTTGGAGGCCGTTCCTATTGGGTTGAAGCGGCTCCGCTGACGTCAGGGATGGCGAAGCGTTGCTTTGGACTTCCCGGTGCCCAGTTCTTCCAGCATCGCTTCTGGAACTTGGACCATTGCTGATGCGCATCAGATCGAGCTCTTGGCATGTGCAACAGAGCCTGGGCAAGACATGTTTAACTCTTTTGGGCGTCGATCCAAGCTTCGGATCCAATTTCTGACATTGCGGGCTGTGACGCCAAGGCGAAGGAAAGATAAATGTCACAAGTAAAACACGACATGGACTCTTTGGTGTTTTTTGTGATGTCCGGTGTACCAACTTCGCTCAGGGCTCATACCACTGTGACATCATCTATTGTCGTGAGACATATTGCCAAATGGACTTCTACAAGGAGAAGTACAAGGACTTCGCACTTTAGTCCCTCTTTAGGACATGCTTTAGGGCTGCGATTTTGCCATGTAAAGGTCCGGTCGGTGCTGTTGTGAAGTTGTGCAGTATTGCAGTCACGTTGTCCTTTCGTGCACGCAATCCGCAAACCCCGTGATGTCGTTCTGGCGATGCCAACAGCGCAGACAGCGCAGAAAAGGGTTTCCGATCTTAAAAGAACCTTGACTTGAAGCTGATTAGGCATGTTACCTTTCGTGGAGATCAATTTCTGCAATCTCCAGATTTGTCGGTTTGACATTGTTTGACTCGGAATTGATATGGACAGGGTATCACTTTGGCCCAAGCTTACTGGAAGCAATGGAACTGAACCTCTCCTTGCAATGAGACTTTGTCGACCTTTTTGTTTGCTCGTAAGCCTACTCGTTACTCTTTCGAAAGGCTTGAAATTGCTGGAGGTCGGAGCTCCCAGAACTGGGACACAGTCGATTCACGCAGCCCTTGAAATCCTGGGGTTGAAAAGTTTGCACAGCGGACACAATCAGTCTTTACGAATACCAGTGTGCAAATACTTGTTCGGAAATGGCTCTCTTGCTGATGCTTTATCTGTCTTGGATGGCTACGATGCCGCCATGGACGAACCTTTCATGTTGATCTATGAGGAGGTCATGGCGCAAATTCCAGAGGCCAAATTCCTTCTGACGATCAGTAATCCTGAGAGCTGGTATAGTAACTATGTCGATCTTGTTCAAACCGATGGGGGCGGGTGGTGGTTCGATTTGATTCCTTCATATTTGCAGAAGTGCTTTGATATGGCATCCTGGAACTGCTCCTTTACCCAGCCCAGTGAGGACACGAAAAAGCAATGCTTAGAGAACTATGCAGCACACAATGCACGCGTTCAGCAGATCATTCCGCCTGACCGTTTGCTGGTGTTCAATTTCTCAGACGGATGGAGCTCGTTGTCACACTTTCTACAGCTTCAAATTCCGAATGTCGACGAGTTTCCTTATGTCGACGAGGCCTCTGAAAAGATCCATTCGCGGGCGGCCCTTGGAGAGGCCATTCTTCAAGCTGTGTCGGCATGAGGGGAGACGAACCGTAATTCGATGACGGTGATAGTTCTCGAGTTGCCCTAAGTTGTGCTGGTCCAAAAGCGTTCGGCATCACGAAAAAGGAGCGGCCGCAGAACGGTTTTAAGGACAGGATTACAAGAGCCGTGTTTGACCTGCTAGAGCTGGAGTTGTGTCGAATAAAGGCTTCAAGCAAAGAAATCTGTCTCGACGGAGTGAAAGAAGGGGATAAATAAGGTGGCACCAACAAGACACGAAATGGTTAGAATGCTGAAGCAACGCAGATAGCCTTTGGATGCCTTTTGGGGTTATCAATGGTTATCATTCGATGTCCCGTCAACGGAGCACTAGATTGGGCCATTGACTATTTTGCGATAGTGGACTTTCAGCGAAGTTTGGTGCCCTGCCATGGAACCATGCTGGGCGATTTGAAAGATTCCACGAATGAGCTGGTGCAGCTCTTTGGAATGCAAAAGAGTTACGACGTTCATAAAATATCAACATTTACATGCTACATCGAAGCGGTGGAAGCGCAGCATTTCTGCTGCGTCTTCGTCCCCACGAAGACCTTCAATGTTGCTGGACACTTCCGATAGGGCAAGTACATCGATCGGGGTCCCAGATCGAAATGAAGGAGCTATGAATAGATGCATTCATTTGCACTAGAAATGGCCTCCAACCTAGCGATGGCCTCCAACCCTTCAGTCAACAAGTAGGTGTTTGTCCAAAGATTTAGATTTAGAATGATTTAGAGCCTATCACCTCTACGGGACAGTTGAAACACCCGAAGAGCATCCCGGAGTTGTGCTCCCGCATCGGATGCACAGCATCTGAGACCGTACGTCTTCAGGTTTGAGATCGAAATGTGTAAAGCCAAGAAGTAGTTTGTAGAAAATAGTGCAAAAAAAGCCTGCTCAAGTACCGAGACAGCATCCAACCACCTGCTATGGGAAGCTTGCAGTATCATTCCAGGAGGTAAATCTCAACACGAATCACATAGGCTGCACACCTCGCGGGCTACAGTGGCCGGAACGTCGTACACAAAAAGCGGCTGGCACAGATTGTTGGTCCAACAAAAAAGTCGCCAGTTGACTCAAGGTATATATATTCCGATGTTGCAACTCCTGTCTCTCATTGGTATTGTCATGGCCAGGATCAAAGTTCTTCATCACAAAATCATGCAGGAGACCCTTGTCACAGAAGTCATTCAACATAGAAACTGTTGTGTGACCCATCCGAGCCTCACCCTTCCCCGGAGGGAATTCCGCACGCCTCCAAGATTGCAAAAGAACCCCCAATGTCCATGGCGGCCAATCCAAGTAAAATGCGACCAAGTATGGTAGTGGCGACCATGCCTCCATCTTTTCCGCGAAAACGATGTTTGCCATTGTTTCAGGTACTCGAACAATCCACATGATAAAAGCCCTAGAACTCCGCATCGACCAAAGTCGAAGAAGTTGCCGGACAGCCAAACAGCCTGCCGGTCCTGATCTTCCGGATTTGGCTTCTCCATCTTGCATCAAGTCCTCTCAGGACAATGTTGAGCGTTCGTCGTGCCTTCCACAGATCACTCGGTTTGATGATCTCAGAGGCCAGTTTGATACTCATCTTGATAAGCTCCTTTGCTTTGGGCTCAGTTCGCGGCCCGGCGATACCGGCGATACCGTGGGCGTACCGTGGCCCGGAAGGTCTGGGCCAACACGTTTGAAGCACACTTCAGCCCAAACAAAACAAACGAAGACATCCTTTGAGTGCAAGGGGTGCACTTTGCAGTGCAAGACACGCATACTCAGGACGCACTCTATTTCGGCTTTAGGCGCATAGTTTTGTGCTGCTAGCCTTCGAAGCGACAGAAACTTTGTAGAAACAACGCATTATCCAGTAATCAACAGTTAAGCCAAAGCATGCACGTGTACTACACCTCCCTGGTGCGCACGATTCCTTGGCCAAGATGCGCGCCAAAGAGTCTTGCCCTCCTGCGCCTCTACATCAATAACAAGTGCCACGCTACTAGGAACAAGTGCATCGCTAGTAGTAACAAGGACGCTATTGGTCCGGGTGGTGCTTGTGATGCCCAAGGTCCGGGTGTGATGCACAACTCTCGTGCATAAATCTCCACCTCGCAAGGTTCAGCCGTGCAACGTCGATGTTCAACAATCGCTGACACAAACCAAAACTGCATGGCATTCGAGCCATGCAGCGGCCGTCTTCTCGTAGCTTCAAAGATGGGTTACATTGAGTCACTCCTTTTGTTTGAGATGTGGTTCTGCTGCCAATCCTGAGGTTCTGCTGCCAGCTCTATTTTGCACAAGAGGGTGAAAGCCCTCTAGTCATTGAAACTTGGACAGCGTGCCGGATGTCTCACCGTCGACTTCAAACCGCTGTGAACTTGTTTTTGTCCGCTACCCCCGTCCCTACTTAATTAAGGGAGAGGTAGCTAGTAGCTGCAAGTAAGCTACTAACTACTGGACGCAGGATAGCTCGCGCTAATGAATGTTTAGGGAAACTTAACTAATAGTACCGTATATATTAATATATACATATTGTATATATTATGTGTTTTCATCGTTTTTGTTTTTGTCGCCTATAGGCGGGGGTCGTTTTTGTTCTAAGGATGTCATGCGCTTGGGTTCCCTCAAGGGGCGCTGTAGCGATCCTTGGCAAGCAAGACTCAAGATGCGGGCAGGGTACTCGGAAAGAGGGGTAAGACGTCTTTTCAACAACAGCAAAACAAAGAGTTTTTCATGTCTGACGGCAAACATGTGAACGTTTTGTGCACTCGACGCAATCGCTGGCTGAGTTTACTACGGTAGCAGCAGGTTCCAGGTTGTCTCGAAGGTTTGGGAAACATGAGACATGTGACAACAACCTTATGTTGAGCATTAGTAACAAAGGGCATCGCTACTAGGAGCAAGAAGCTATTAGTAACTCCTGGCATTACTACTAGGAGCAAGGACGCTACTAGTAACCAATATATACCAAGGTGAAATATCACACTCTTGATGCTTCTGCCATTTCTGGCCGAGAATATGAAGCTTGCTCAGGCCGGGGCTGAATTTGCGGTATGCAGGAAGTCCGTGTGTTAGATGTTTGTTTGCCAGGGGAGTTGATCTTCGAGGATGGAGAAGACACCAAAGAAATTAGCATCGTTGGGATCTGAATGCTCAGATATGCTCAGTACCATGAGACTAGAGAAGGCAATCTAAGTGAACAGACAAAGGCAACGCCATTTGCCCCTTCTTTGGCTTTCGAGTGGGAGAAAGAGGATGTTTCAAGAGTTAATTACCAAAATATTCAAAATGTTCTCAACCGAGGCCATCAATGATGATGACAATTGGTCACCGTCAACAGAATTCAAAGTTCAGTTGACGCACCCGCAGAACTGCAAGCGCCTTTCCGGAAACTGAACTCCTATGTATGTACAATGCATTCTTCCTACATGTAAAAATTATGCAATGACCTCCAACCTAATAGCGATGGCCTATATTGCAAGGCTTGAAATGAGTTATGGCAACATTGTCCAACTATGCTTGACGCTTTGCCATTTGCTTCCGTACGCCTTGCTAGATGTTGAGCTTTAAATCTCTGTCCATGTTTAAAACTTTACCAAAGCTGGGGATCATCACCATTGTCACCATGGCATGCGAAAGGACTCTTCAGCGAGACTGCTGTCTTGTTTGTGTCACAAGACTGCTTTCTTGCAGACCATGCTCCCTTTTTTCCTTGCTGAGTTTGTTTAAAAGAAATTCTCATCGCTCTTCTGCGCATGTTTGATGACTGAGGTTGGGTGAGAATTTGCAGCATTGCCGAGTGAAAGCTGGAACTCAGCACGATCGGTTTTTCAGAGTCAAATCTTTGTCAAACTGGGTGCCGGGTACCCGTTGGCAATTGCACATGGTGAAGCTCTTGTGGTTGATGACATTAATGAA